AAAGCGAGACAGACAGACAGAGTTACTTTCACATTTTTTATTTTATAATATTAGTATGGATAAACCAATGCCAATCTCTAGAATACACGTCCTGCTGTTAGATTGAAACATCCTGTGTGCAGAAGTTATTCCTGATCGTCCACGCCCGAGTGGCAAATTTCTACCAATTACTTGGAATCTGTAGTAGAAGTACCATTAAATTTTATTAAATTCGGTACCGGGGTATGAACTCGGATTGCTCGAGTATACTCCTAGATAGTAAACTAAGAGATCATACCGAGCTACCGCGTCTCATAAGTTGTAGTAGGCATAAATAAAAAACATTTCATTAATATTTGCCACACTACTTTGTATAAATTATGTACACAATGTAGTAACGTAATTTAATAAGTGAATAAATAAATCATCTTGATTCTATTATTGGTATCAGAAAATTAACTAAACTGCGTTTTTGAGTGTTCGACTATTGTTATTTAAATAGCTACATTCCATCGCCAATTCCGTTACAGCAATCAGAGCCATACGGTGTTCTAACGCATGCAACATTTTACGTACGGAGTGTTGCATTTTATTACAATTTATTCGTTGTCAGTTGTAATCTGCATACGTTTGTTGTTATTCGTTTCGTGATGCCCGAACGGAATAACAATGGCGACGGATCGTGACATGTGCCCACATATTTTTTAAGACGAATTGCGTTCATACGAACGGATCGACACTTGAAAGCCTCGCGGAAATTATTTTGAATTTTCCATTTTATCATCGGATGCACACGTGAACTTTTCCAGCCCACTAATCGGAGAATTTTCATTGTTGATGTTTTTAGGTTTTCTGATGTCTGCACTATATAGTATACAAAGTCGTCCCGCTGTCTGTCTGTCCCTATATATGCTTAGAGCTTTAAAACTACGCAACAAATTTTGATGCGGTTTTATTTAATAGATGAAGTGATTCAAGAGGAATGTATAATTCTATTTATAAAGGTATAATTATATGTATAATTCATGCATAGTTTAGTAGAGAAAATCTGATAATTTTAAAGGTTTCTAATGCGACGTCGAAAACAAACATTCAACTTTGCACCCGTGCGAAGCCGGGGCGGGTCGCTAGTATGAATATGTTTGTCTTGAATGGTAGGTACCTCTGAGCTCGGCATTATTCGTGGCTCGTATTTGTTTTTATTGAATCTTCTGAAGTAGCGAATGGACGTATTATAGATTACTCATCATAAAACAATTATAAAAAAATAGGTTATTCTTTTGTATATTCTTAGCATTGAGTGACTATACACCTGCTAAGAATAAATCGTTAATTTCGAAACTTAACAAACATTTTACATACGCACACACAAGCACCATGATCAGAAACAATTACCTTTGTATCACACAAAACCTTTAAGTGCGGTATTAGAACGCACGATGGCCTAAAGCGATATAGCCCGTAACCGTCGCTTAGCAACCACTCTGAGGTGTCTAAAAATAAATATTTATCGAAGAGCGGTAGCTACTCACTACGGCTCTTCGATTCGAACGTCTGAACAGAATCATGGGTTAGTGTCTTGATTTAAAAATATAACATAGCTGAGATTAATTCCTTATTTACGTATGTGTATGATATGTACTATTTATAGTTATCAATTAGACATCCCTTTGATGTAATGGCTATATGCTATATAACGGGAATATTAGTTTCCTTTTATCATGCGGTTTTGAAATAAATATGCCCCATAATAACGTGTCGCATTATTACCGATTATGTCATAAAATATCCGATCAGTGGGCGATATTATTTAACATCGAATAAATTAAATGCAGTCATTCGGGCGATGACTAAGGCGGTCTTTAATTTTTCTTTTTGTTTTTCATCATCTAGACCGAGATTTAATCTAGACACTAAATGTGCTCATCGCCGTGAGAAACTGTTGAAATCGTTTTGGGTCGTTGAATATGTTTTATGTGCGTTCATAATAAAGGCACTCGAACCTTTTAATTTTTATTACGGACTTGCTTAATTGACTACCAGCACACCTGACGCTAAGTACCCATAAAGTCCTTGATGATAAACTCAATTACTCCGTAGAAGCCTATTCACAGTTGCCTTGAAGTTGCAGTGTTATCCAACGGAAAGACGGACGTAGGCATATTGTAATAAATAGATAATAGGTACATATTTTTTTTTAATATATTACTAGCTTTGCACGGGTGCAATGTGCATATAAACCTACCTTTTGAATAACTCTATATGTTGCTGATAACTGAAGAGTAAAAAGATCTAAGCGTACGAACAACGAGAGCGACTTTGTAAAGATTCTGGACTACAACGTAATACCCATTACCCATCATATTAAAGTATAAACTACTATAGGTAACTGATAAACATACTTAAACATGCATTCATTTTGCAATTAAATACATATCATAGATATTTAAACACTCAGCCATTAGCAAAACTGTTTCATCACGTAATAGTTTCTAGTAAGTAATGGGAATCGAACCCGCAACCTCTGGCTTTAGAGACTGGTTCACCAGCCGCTACGTGCATGACGATTGATTAGGAATGCCTCTCCAAGACGCTCCAATATCCTCTTATAACCGATATTTTTTATTACCACTTTCCGTTTTCGAAATTTTTGTTCATCTCATCACTATTTCTTCTGTACTACAGGTGTGTATTTCAACTGTCTTTATTGACTGTTTGTGGCTTTCGAACAAATAAAAGTTAATTAGAGCCGACCATGCACCTCTTGGTAGCGAAATGTAAGAGCTCTCATTTGTATTGGATTCCTCTACTATTAGTTGCTTGATTACCAATTAGTTTCGATTCGCAACGGGCATCTATTGTGGGGCTCGACGCTACTGCGCTGGTGATTCACCACGCTGAATGCAGTGATTCACCGGTTTTATGCGTTGCGAACTCCTGCGCTCCTTGCGGGGCGGTATGATGGTATTTTTGGCAATGTCTCTCCCAGGTTGACGCGCGTCGCGATCGATCGTTTTTTTTATTATTTCAATGCGCCTAATTATGCTCTGGCCGTCCTTTATCGTCGGGACAATGTGTTTTAATTTTGACCGACACGATGTGCAACATTTTAAAAGCAAAGAAAATCGCAATGTTACATACACAATTGTGTGTAACATTGCGATTTTCCGGACGCATCCGTTTTTTAAACATACTTATTGAGCTTCTGATAAACAAAGAAGACGGTGAGTCTCGTATCCGTTCTTCCGAACAACCTCTGAAACTTCGGACGGCCATATGACACTATCTCACCACGGCGAAAATGGCTTAAGTCTACAATTTAATTAGTACAACATTAGTCCCCATCCCGGAATCCTTAGTTAGTGTGGACCCACGTTTGACATTGCCAACAATAATACTCTCAATATAATTATGAACCTCTTATTAACTTTTATTTAGTCAGAGATAGTTACATCTTGATTTTCATAATTTATCAACATCACATATAATAAGGACAACTCCGAAAATACTTTGGAAATACTAAATTAAAACGCTTTTTAAAATTGTAGACAGTATTGGGATTTGTGCAGTGTTATCTGTGCGGAAAAAAGAAAACAAAAGATGGTATGTCACTCTACTAATACATAAATTACTATCATCCACCAACAAAACGAAAACACGTCGATAGATTCAAATAACAAAGCGAAACCAGTGTTTATAAATCACTCTGACGTGATAAATAACCCCAACTATGAATCAGGAGGCACGCGCCGTCGCATATGGCGTCTAGCTATGTCTTTCGTTCGAAGCGGACTCACGCATTAATGTACTATTTATGGAGCGTTCAGGTTTACGGCGCGTATCTGTTAGATCGCGCGGATCTTTTACCGTCTTACCGATGTAACGTGTGATTTCATCACTTTGTCTAAATTGTCGTTTTTCTAAAGACTAGGCTGCATGTCATTTGAACCTTTGCCTGTTCGAAAGGACGAATGTAAAAGTTAACTTCATTTGACGTACTTGTCATTTGAGATTGCCGCCGGTTCGAATTGACATTGGATAAATTAGTTTTTGTGGATCTATTATCTTCGACCGTGCATGGCTAGAGGTTGAAATCAGAACACATTCCTGGTCGTATTATTTGTGATTGCTGTCTGGGAAACTCTGTGCTGGATTTGTTGTCCCTCGTGGTGGATGCTAAAGGCATAGGTGGCTGGCAAGCTGGTCTGAGCTGCTGCTCTATTAAATATTGTTTTTTACCTCCAGTTGGAGGTCTCCTACATACCCCCCCAACAGTGTGGCTGTACACACTACACTTGACCTGACTTTCTCTACTCTCTTCTGAGCTCAACGCTGACCTGTACACACAGGGCAGATGTCTCTGCGGTGACATAGATTTTAAATAACTACCTGATTGGACTTTGTTTTTTTTTAAATTGAATTGCATAAGTTTTACCATCTCAATTTAATTTAATTATTTAACCTTATATGGTCGCACAAAGTAATGTGTAGGTCCTATGTACTCACGACTCCCTGAGATACTTAATTGTGATTATTACAACAGTCTGTTCCTAACAGACAAGGCGCCCAACTTATTATTATTATTATATTACAAAATATATTGTATCTGAGCTAGTCCAGGGATTGTAACTTTAAATTGAAGGGATAAATACAAATTCTTAACCGCTAATAAATCTTTTATTAAATCTCCCATCATTAACTATACCATCCTATATAGAAACGTTACACCGACATACTTTCATTAATACCAAGGTAATGCGTAATTTCCACAGGAAACGCCCTATTGGGTGGTAATTTCGCTCTGAAATATATTAAGCTTAAAACGTCACAGTGCGAACTAACTTCACAGACGCCTGCTGCCTAATCGGTAGCTTTGATGCTATTTCATGTTATGCTTGGTCTGCAATACATACTGCAACGGGCGCAAGCTAATCTAGAGTACTTAAATATGTGATGAGAAATGAAGTCATAGGAATAGTCCCCTGCTTAGTTCACCTGTCTCTTGGAGAGGACAGGGTGATATGGGGTTCTCATCCTTTAACATCACCCCAATGGCCACCCTCGGTATGTTGGAAGGGGCTCCGGGATCTCCTACGGATCGCACGGCTCGCGGGACGATAAACCTTTACCCGTGGCCCACGGATGCCAACTTACGAATTTTCTTCTTAAATTTAGGAAGAAAAATGTACAATGGAAGTTTTTTTAAGAGTTAAAATCAAACTGAAACTTCCTAAATGTTTCACATTTCAGGAAGTTTCGGTTTGAGTTTAGTGAATTTTATTGGGTTTTTTTAGGAGTTGCTTTAGGAGTATTTTTCTAACAGCCGGTAACGCTGCCCCATCGTAACCTTTATGTACAACGGACCGTTCCGCTCCCGCAGCGATCCGGCGCGGCGCCGAGAACCAGCCCGCGAAGAAGGCGCGCGCCGAGAGCGGCGCCGGCGAGGGCTCCAGCGGCGGCCGCGAGCACCTCGCCTACACGTGTCTGCTGCGCAACGAGCTGCTCGGCGCGCAGATCGACGAGATGCGCGGCCCGCCGGCCGGCTGCGCGGACGGCAACAGGGCCGCGTTGGGCGCGGTGCAGCTGGCGTCCGCGGCGATGGCCGCGCTGGCCTACTCGCCGCGCGTCTTCAAGTTCCGTGCGCCCGTGTACAGCGCCGAGGTGAGTGCGAGACTCTAGTGTCAAACTAAGCAACGCTTGTACTATGGGCGAGGTGAGCGTTCAGCGATTTTGAATATTTTTACACAACGCTCTCTAGTCTCGAACTAAGCAACGCTTGTACTATGTGCGAGGTGAGCGTTTAGCGATTTTAAATATTTTAGGACACATTTTTACACAACGCTCTCGAGTCCCGAACTGAGCTACGCCTGTACTATGGGTGCTAGATGACTGATGAACAAACTACATACACTTTTCTTTTGTAAATAAGTACATATTATAACATACATGTAAATAAGTACAAACACCCAGACGCACTAGAAAAATACTATGTTCATCACACAATATTTTTCCAGTGGTGGGGATCGAACCCACACCCTCTGGCGCAGGAGGCAGGTACACTAGCCACCACGCCATTCGGCTCGTCATCGTCGTCATTTTAACTGGTCCTTTATTTTGGTATATGAGATGGCTCACCCGAACCCATGTGATAGCCGCACCCAGTGGACATTTACAACACCCGTAGGGTTGCAGTCGCGTGGAAACTTTTTCATAAAGTGTGTCCCGATTACCTCACTCACCAGACGGAGCGTGGATGTGTAACACTTCCACTACACGCCGGCCTTCTGTTAGGTCATGGTACTCACCCGGATGGACTTGCCCATTATTGTGATAGCGGAACTGTCCTGATCCTACCACGGACTTTTTTCTTCTTTCTCTTTTTTTATATGACGGCGTTACTTTGGCAGTGAGGGTCATAGAGGTCATAACATAATTTCGTTCGTACTATTAACACTAGTTGTTAGTTACACTTAGATGATGTTGTCAAGCCAACGTGTTTGTTTTCTTAAAAGAGTTAGCTTAAAGAAGTCGCCTGTTGCATGTTCTCGATCTGGTTTACTCAACTGAATTCGGCAAATACACTAAAGGATATTCATCTCCGTTTAAAAATGAAGATCAAACACGCTGACACGAATAAATATTCGGGTCAGCGTGTTTGACCTTGAACTCCTGTATGTTTTCACGGTCAGCGTGATACGTCAAATGTTGGGAAACGAGACATGGCAAGGGGACAAGATAAGCAGTTCTAACTTATTGATTGGCTTATTATAGTTTGGACACATGACAGCGTTTCGAATTAGTTGTCCACTGCCAAAATTGATGGCCGCCGAAATTTATGGATTTCGAGTGTCATTAATTTTATTGCATACGTGTTGCAGTCAAACTGGGATATTATCGTCACTCCAACTCCGCCATTTGATGAATATTTTAAATTCTCACATTTAATTAGGAGACGCCGTTGTATAAAATTTGCATTTTACCTTTTATCCGAGTTTATTGGGAGCGCAATTCAAACGCACAAAAAAGGCAACATATTAGATAATAATAACGAATAAATGATTTATCAAACACCGTATAAAATTTCCAGATTGAAAGGCGACTCGATATCGAAATTCGCGATGGCACACGCACACACAGGCGGAAATAGAATTGCATGTCTAATTAGCGCGCGTTTTATCGAAACCGTAAAACCGGCCGATATGCGATATATGTGCATATTTGGCTGTGTCTAATTGCACCGCGATTTCGGCTCGTAGCCAATAAAACGAATAAAGGGGTAATTAGTAATTTGCACGTTTTCGCAAATCCGCGCAGAATGGAATTTTTTTTTTTCGCCCTCCCAGTTCACTCTCTGATTTATACGTTCGTGCGGATCATGAAGTCGGGACGATAAATTTCGTTTCGGGATTCGAATGCCGACCGCGTTGGGGCCCCGGCTTTGATGGCATCGCTTTATTTATGGCCGCGTCACGTTGATGCAAGAGCCATTTTACGACTTGATGAGTTATTCAGGGTGCCGAGGACGGCTTTGGTATTGCGGCCTTATCGCTCGCTAAAACGCGTTCGCGCATCGAACAGTTTTGCTTAAACTGGCCAGTATTTGACTACCGCGCCATCTGTGTAGTCTTGCCTCGAAGCTACATCGTAATAGTCGGCGAACGCGTCACGATTCCGCCGCACCCATTACCAACGACGGGGCGAACTTAAAAGGTTAGAAAGCGCGGAATGTCCAGTTGAACGCCTTTGCGAAAATTTGGCCTTCATTAAAAGCCACTGCCCGGCTTTATCGTTTCGCACACCGAGCCCGTAAACCCTCTACGACCCTCGCCCATTTGGGGTCGTTAACACGCGACGTAAACTAAGTTAATGCGCTCCGACGCCCGTTTCGACGCCATCTCGGATCCGGGCAAGTGTCGACTGAGCCAAAATAAAAGGCGCCCAACGGCCGGCCTCGGTCGATTTTAACGTCGGGTCAAACGACCACGCGAATATCGTACGGCGTTAAAGATCGGCCCCGAGACGCCCGAATCCGGTGTATCTTTACTGCGCCGGCTCATCGATAGGGCGGTTCAATGACAGGCGACCTTGTTTTGCTCTCCGAAGGGATGGCGCGACTGTCGAGCGATTTGAAAGCGAAAATTGTTCGTTGGTCAAGTCGGTGTCGGTTTCTTTCTCGGACACCGATCGTCCGTGCTCGTAAAGTCTCCGGTTTTACTCTCACTCGGGGGGACCCGTTAAAGAGAACTACCTCCCCCCGCCCATCACCCCCTCACCCTTTCCCCCTCCCCCGTGCCGAATGTGTATCGCGAAGATTGAAGGCGACACGCCCGCGAAGTGAACACCCGCCCGTGATGTCTCTACCTGTCGGCCGCGAATCGGTTTAATGCACGCTAATGCCCTTCGCGTTTTTCGGATTTACCGTTTTTTGTTTTTTTTTCTCTGTTCTTCTTTTATTCTTTTTTCGAATCAAAGTCTTCCGATACGGCCAGTTTGATTCGCAGTGCAAATATAATTAGCGCTCGTTATGGATTTATATATTTAAGTACGCAAAGCGAGCGAACACGTGCTCTTGCCTCTTTATTTCACTCGTTCGCCTGTGTTTCCTTGCGTGAATGACGGATACGTTTTCCGAACGACGTGCGCTCTTATGTAATCGAAAAGTTATCGTAATGATGGTTTTGTAATATCTTTTGACGCGGGATACTCGATAAGGCGAATTGAAATAATTATTAATTCGGAGCGAAAACGTGGCTTTATAGTGGCTTGAGTGATTTCAATATGTATTTTAACGTCTTATCATCATTTAAACGAGTTGAGTTTGTACAGTCTTTTTTCGCAGTTCTTAATACGATCAACGCAGGTACTAAGGCATCTCGGCTTCTGTGCCCACATAAAGAATGTGTTTTTATTATGTATACTTGTAAATTATGTTTCTTATATTTGATATTACAAATTCAACACCCGAGTTTAATTTCTTTTTACTGGCATTAGGTAGGCAAGCATAATAACAAATACAGCAGGGCGAAAGAAGTAAAATAACTAATGTCTAAATAAGCTGTGTTCTCATAACGACCACTTTATCAACATAAACTCCTTTAATTTTGATAGATCGTGTAATGTTTTATTTGTTATCGGCAAAGGTGGAAAATGAGCAGGTTTTTCATCTGATTTTAACATCTGTGTTGTAGTAGAGTTTGTCAGCGTTTAATAGACTTGCCCCGATACTCACACCAAACTCAAAAGCAGGATCGTGAACTTCTGCTTTCCGTCAGTTTTCTGCGAGGCTTAAGTTCTGAACGGACGAGTCCGTCCACCCGTGCAACGCGGCTCTCCAATAAAATACCATTTGATATAAAAAAAAACATCGATTCGAAATTGGAACAAAACGCGAAACAAAAGACGACACGGAAACATTGATACGGCCGCGTCTCGATATCAAAGGGCCCGTCGCATCGTTCGATAGCTTTGTCCGCTCACCGGCGAATCGGTGTCGATTCGAAAAAGCTTAGTCGGCTCGGTGTCGTCGATTGTAATCGGATGACGGATCGCGTATCGGGGGGCTTTGTCGCGCTTCTCTTCGGTAGCCCCCGCGCGTGATTAATGAGCGTCTAATGCGCTTGTATACACGCGTTTGGTTCAGGTTTTTGCGGTTCTTGCGCGCTCCGTAAGTTCGCGCAAGAAGTAAATTCCTCCGTAAGCTGTTCCGAGTTGAGATACGGGAGGGAGTAACGAAGGAAGTTGACACCGGCTTGGGTCTTTATCGTATGGCTTTCTTCCTTAACAAACGAATTAAATCTCTAGGTCAAATTTGAATCATGAATTTCGTTTTTAAGTTTTTGTCCCTTCATATGATCAACGCGCCGAGGGGCTTCCTATTCCATCGTTTTTATGTGAGAAGATGGTAAGCGTTCTGGTGGTTCACTCGATGAATAATAAACGCCATCCATAGACGATGCGCTGTCACTTTTTAATAACGCGGTCATGTTTACCTCACTCTGCCGGCGAAACGCAGAACTGTAACACTCTTACGCCGGTCCTCAGCGAGTTCGTGGTACTTTTCCGGACTGGTTGCTCTGCCAGTTAAGAAGTAATGATGTGTATTTTTATGAAACATTCTTGTCGCTGTGGAAGATCAATTATTTAGTGTTGTAAGGAAGTTACACAGACACCTGTGGTAACAATTCACTAATACAATTTACACCTGTAAATGGTTTTAGTACAGGTGGAGAAACGCCCAGATCTGAAAAAAATATCTATGGGTCACATTAATAGTTGTCCCGTGTGAAAATCGAACCCCCTACCTGAGCCACGGAATCTATCTTTTTATATTTAAGTGTTACATGTTTATTTTATTTAATATCGTCGATTATTATATTTACTTTTATATGGTTGACTAATTTGCTAATAACTTTCGATATTAAGTATTTACTCACGCTGAGATAAATGTTGCACCGATTGTTATTCCCAAATGCCAGTTTAGAGGAAGTTAATTTATAATTAATTTAATAATTAAGCAACATTTTACCTTGTGTTATTTGTTTATGCAATGACAATGTGCCAAAAATAACAGACGGGTATGTTTTACCTCATGAAATCCTCAAATTTATAGCGGTTAACGCTGATTCCATTCCAAACCACATATTCGAGTATCCAACAACTAT